GGATAGTCCAGGCCCTGGTTAGTCAGTTCACTCGTTCAAAAAAACTTCCATATCACAGGAACACTCATCATCGTCACTTATATTGAATAGAACCTCGAAATGCAGTCAATTGAATTTTTACGATGTTCTCACAGAAACACACAAAAGACACAAAACACATTAACGTGTACAAAACCAAACAAACAAATGTACTCACGAACACACATTCACACACATGTCTGACCTGGACATTGAAACAATTGCACACACGTACGTATGCATTCGACCGCATGCAATGCAACGTACGATGGGACGCAAAACTCTCGACCAACTGACTGACTGACTACGAACTGACCAACAACAGCTTGCAGACTCTCCAGTAGAATTGCCCTTCACCAACAGTTCCGACTTCCAGGCGATATACTCGGGACAGGATGTCATTCTCAAGGTCACCGATGACGTCATCATAATGCTCACTCAAATCGGAGTCAGTGTCAAACTTGGAGCCAGCTACAATTCAAAGGTGACAATGTGATTGGTTGGTTGGATGGTTGGTAGGTTGATGTGATTGGTTGGTACGTTGATGTGAATAGCTGGTAGGTTGATATTTTTGGTATGTGGGTGTGGTTCACGACAATAAAACATGGCAATCTTTGAAGAAAACATTTTTGTTTCAGTCAAAAAATTGGTTTCACGAAACACAATTGGTAAAAATTGATATCCATAATATAAAAAAAGGAAATAAAATTTTTATTAAATAAAATTTGAACCAGACAAGAGGCGTGTGTGGAAACAACAACGGCCAGATTGCAGATGACTTACTGCTGGCAGATGGTAGCACCAGAGCCTTGAATCTGCTGAACGGAGTCACAGAGAGCTCCGATGCCAAAGCCTTTGGTGACAGCTTCGTTAACGCGACAGATGCTTCTGATCCGAGGTTCTATGTAGTTGTGTTGGGCTTGTTTGGTATTATTTGTTGCTCGTTTGGTGTGTGTTGCTGTTGTTTGGTATTGTTGTTTGGTTGATTTGTGTTGTTTTTTGCATGTTTGGTTTGCTTGTTAAGGTTGTTGTTGGTATTGTTGTTTGGTTGATTTGTTTGGTTTGTTGTTTTATAAATTTTCCAGCTTTTTATCATTTTTTGTATCTATGGTGTTGTCGTTGAGTTGTATCTTTTATCTATTTGGTTTTGTTTTTGTCATTGTTTGTTATTTTTATATTTTTAAATAAATGACTTCTTTGAAAAGGCACATGTGAATAATTTCATATTTTTATGCTTGAACGTTAAATGATAATAAAGATAATAAAATAATAGTAATAATTATTATTATTATTATCATTATTATTAATATTATTAATTATTATTATTATTAATGATATGAAATGAATATAATGTTACATTAGTCAGTGTTTCAATTGTTAATGTTGTAAATTATTGGTGGTTTTGACAACTTTATTTAAAATGTTTTAGTATCGATATTAACTGCCCTAATTATACCCCCCTCTGTTAATAACCCCCCCTGCCACGAACCACAGCATCTGTTTGCAGCCCTCTCCTCCACCATCCTCTCAACCACCCACGTGCTCTTTTGATGCAATTAAAGCTATGGGCAAATGCATGGTGGGGTTTGCTAATAGTTCAATTGATTAATTAAATAGATAAAGTTAATTAATTATTATTATTCGATTGAAAATAATATATTTAAGTTATTTATTTATTTAAATATTTATTTATTTTTTAAACCAATCAGTCAGTTAAATTATTAATTCATTCGAAAATTTATTCAATCATTCAATCAATCGCCTAAAAAACATTCATTCGTTCGTTCGTTCGTTTGTTCGTTCGTTCATTCGTTCATTCATTCATTCATTCATTCATTCATTCATTCATTCATTCATTCATTCATTCATTCATTCGTTCATTCATTCATTCATTCATTCATTCATTTATTCATTCATTCAATCACTCGCTTGTTCAGTTTAGTGATCAATCTTAATGAAAGCCAGTTATGTTCTCGATATTTTGTTCTAACCAACTAAACAATCAAACATTCCAATCAACCAACCAACCAACTATCCGTTCAACCAACCAACCAACCAACTAACTAACCAACCATCCAACCAACCATCCAACCAACCATCCAACCATCCATCCAACCAACCATCCAACCAACCATCCATCCAACCAACCATCCAACCAACCATCCATCCAACCAACCAATCACAACACAGGAGATAGCAAACAACCAGAGTGTAACATTCAAAGCCTGCCAGAGCAGCTTCACATCTGTTGAGTTGGCCACTTTTAGCTTCCTTTGCACCTATGACCTCACGATGACCTGCAGAGCTGCTCTGGCTGATGTTGCTCTGATGGCTCTCTCCATGATGTGTGTGGACAGGGCAAACGTCAAACCCCCATCCGTGTGTGATGGCCTGGGAGTTGGTAGGTTTGGTGATGGTGGTTGGTGATTGTCGCTGTGATGTGATCTTGTGCTGCTTCAAGTTGTTTGTCTGTTTTGTGCGTGTGTGTGTCTGTGATGGATGTGAGGTGTGTTGAGATGGGGGGGTGTTCTTAACAGCGAGAATGTTAAACGTGGCTGGACTGCAGTGATTTGAATGGTTACTGTATTACCATGTCAAACCAAAAGATGTATATGTGCAAGTGTTTGTTCATGGAAGGAAGGCTACAAATTTTTACAATTATTTCCATCACCATTTCATAAACAGATTGCACCTGCAGGCAGCCAAATACAGTCCTAGCACCGTCAGCATCAGCTTGTCCATTGACGTGTTTGAACCCTGAACCCACCGCGGTGGCCCTGACCTGCACCCTGCCTGACCTCACCAACGTGTGTGTCTGCAAACAGGGGTACGTTCTCTTCAGAGGTGCCTGTGTGCCACTTGGTAGTTGCGGATGCTTTGATAAGAAGGGCATGGCCCATAATGTGAGTTGGTTGGTCGGCTGGTTGGTTGGTTGGCTGGTTTGTTGGTTGTTTGGTTGATTTATCGGTCGGTCGGTTGGTTGGATGGTTGGTTGGTTGGTTGATTAGCTGGTTGGTTGGCTGGTTGGTTGGCTAATTTTTTAATATCATTTAAGATTTAATCGTTGGCACATATATTTGGTTTTATGTTGTTGTTTCTGTTTGTGTTGAAATGGGATGCTTTTTACTGCATTCCTCAAAAATGAAACTCTGAGAAACTAGAAATTGTGTCTACAAAAAATTAAAATAATACTGGAAAATAAAAAACTAATTAAATATAACATTAATTAATGATGTTTTGTATCATAATTTAATTTTAATATATTTTATATATGTTTAGATTAATATTTTTTGATGTCCACTCATTGAACTCATCAACTCAGGTCGGCGAGAGCTGGTTGAGTGACGACTGCCGCACCAGCTACACGTGCCAATCAAGCAATCAGATCGCCGAAGCTCCGACCTCCTGTCCAGCCAACAAGACCTGCGTTAAGGGGAAGTGTACAGGTGAGTGTTTGTAGTCGTTGTGGTTGTTGTTGTGGCCACAGCTGTTGTGGTTGGTTGGTGTAGTAGGTGTCGTCGTCATCAATTTTTCATAAATACCCTACATTTTGTTTTATTGATGTTGCAACTGTTAACATTTAAAACAAATTTGTCAGTTATTTTTGCTGTTGAATTTGAATTTAGTTCTTCCAACCAACCCATACATAGCCTGCTTAAATGCCAACCAATGCAAGGACGGAGTCTGTCTGGACACTGAAGCGGGCATGGGTTACTTCTGCAGGTGCAATCCAGGTTTCTCTGGCAACGGATACCAGTGCACGAGTCAGTTGCTGCTTTCTGCGATTAGATTTTAACTTTGAAAATTTAAAAAAAAACTGAGTGGGGTGAATGTAGTTAATGTTGAATGAAGTCGTGAATTTGAATGCTCAAAGATGTAGTCGATGGTCGCATGAACTTTGTTGAGTGGGTGGGTGTGAACACTTGCATGTGGAACGTGAAGATGTGCTGTAAAGCTTTCATTTGCTATTTGCTTTTTTTACAGAGCTAGAAAATTTTTTGTGAAATTGAACTTATTATAGTTGGCTAAATGTAGTCAATGTTGAATGAACTCAACATTGAATAAAAACCAAATAATTTTATTATTTTTTCTTTGATCAACATGCAAGTAGATGAATACATGAATAGCATAATGCTACATTCAAATCAATTATAAATCATATCAAAAATACAAATTAGAAATACAAATCAAAAGTACAAATCAAAAAAATTTAAGAATACTAATCAAAAATGCAAATCAAACAAAAACGCGAAAGTTCCACAAACAACTGCATGATACATACCATCAGAGAAAACAACTGGTCTGTGCCAATGCTACGGCGATCCACACTGCAAAACATTCGACAAACAGAAGCTCGACTACCAGGGCCTCTCGAAATTCATCCTCGTCAAGTCACTCAGTGCCAATGCTTCCTTCACTATCTTCCTTAAGAACATGCGACTTGGAAGGAACACAAAGGTGATTTCTGTTGTTTAAAAATGTCTGAAACAACATCTTTTACTTTTTTTTAAATTCCTCCTCACATACTTCATTTGCAGGTTGCTTGGATCAAATACGTAGAAGTTCTTACTAATGGCAACAGTGTGCGGTTGCAGAGAGCCTACGAGTCGCAATCTTCGCCTATTGTTGCAACGGTCTCAACTAATTTTTATGTCAAATGTTTTGGGAAAAATGTTGTGCTGCGTGATGCTTGATGTCTGTTTTGTTTCTGTATGTTGTAGAGCCTCATTTCTAAACATCACTTTTGCAGTTAGGACGTTTTGGTTTCTTTATGAGTCAAGTTAGGTAACCAGTTCTTTATGATGCCGTTTAGTTTAAAGTTTCACAATTTTTCAACATTCAATATATCATATAAAATTTTTCATGCTTTCTAGCTTTATATACAGTGGTAGATTTTTATCTAATGTAGATAAGATTGTTGTTATTGTTGCATATCATAACTAAATCATGGCGTCTACCTACTTTGTTCTTGATGTTACAGCATGCCTGTTAACAACTTCATTTTTCTCCTCCTGCATTTGATGCAACAGTTCAACGGATCACCCCTGAGTGTGCCCTTCAGAAGTCCGACGGGTGAGTACAGCGTGGCCTACGAAGGGAGCAGCGTGAGGTACACGTCTGCTTTCGGCTTCACCGTCTGGTTCCTAACTAACTACAGGGTTAATGTTGAAGTTACGTCGGATCTCAGATCACAACTCACAGGTTCTTTGCTGTGATCATATTTAATTAGATGCTTTGTTTAGTTTTTTTATATTACACATTGTTTTTTGAAAGATGTTATTAAAACTTATGTATTGTAAAACTTAGATCACGCTCAAAAAAATATAAACTGTCACAGAAACTTTCCAGTTGTTAGTTTTGAGATTCATAACATCTTAAAATTAATTTTCAATTGACCAACGATGACCAACGAAGGATTATGCGGAAACTTCGACGGCAATGCCAGGAACGACCTGCAGGTGAACGGACTTGATGTGAGCTCACTCCCGGACCCTGGAAATGCAGTTGGAAACAGTTTCATCGTTCAGGAAAATCAAACTTCCAGGTGGACAGATTTTTTTTATTTTTTTTTGTGCTTTTGTGTTCCAACTAAAAATTCCACTAAATTTATATATTTGTTTTTCAAATCACTATACTTGATTTTTTATAGAGTAAATTAATTGTTTTTAAATTTGAAAACAGCACAACCTTCTTTGAGTCCTGGTTTTCAACATCACCGTCCGCACCGACGACCTCACCACTTTCACCAACCACGACGATGTTGAGTCCCGACATTCAGACACCAGACACGTGCCCAGCAGGTAACGCAAAGTTCAGACTGAGTTGCAGTCAGTTCGGCGACCTGAGCGGGTTGTTCTCGACTTGTTTGAAGCTGATGGACGCAGTGGAGGTGTCTGCATTCGTGGAGTCCTGCCAGTTCGATGTGGACTACACTTGCGAGGGAGCTGACGTCGTCAAACAGGCATACCTCACACTAACCTTAGACTGCTACAGCAGATTCGGTGTTACTATTCAACATGATGTCGGTATGTGACTCGATGTATCTATAATTACTTCCAACGGGTTTTTTTATGAATATTAAAAATGTTCAAATTGGAATAAGAAAAAATACAACAAAAATTAATTTCTTAAACATTATGAAAAGGCTGATAACAATTAAAATAAACTTGCGATAACAAACTGGAAAAAATTTCAGAACCAGATTGCAACTGCGTGGAGCCGAACACGGTCTGCATGGCGACAGCACCGGGCTGTCCCGCCACTTGCGACAATCCCACCCACCCTTCCACTTGCATCCAGCCCGACGCCAAGTACGTCTGCGCGTGTCAGCCCGGGTTCCTCCTCTTCAACGGCAGGTGTGTTCCTCCGACTGACTGCGGATGCGTCTACACTGATGGAAGGTTCTTCAAGGTTCGTTGGACGTCTTTCCACTTACGTCTCTCTTGGGTGCATTGGAGATAAGCGTTTTGAAATATTAACATATTTTTATATGGGGCAATTGCGATTAGGCCTATATCAAAATCTACATGTTTGTGGAGGTTTTCATCTACATAAAATTAACGTACAGGTTTTGGTGAAAAATTGGATTAAGAGTAAATTGAACAAAATATAAAACATTTATAGGAATTTGTGAAATTTGTGACTAGGACTATTTCAACCACTCACAACAGTAAAATATAGTTTAATTTAGGACAAAACCACTATTTTTATTAGCAGCAATTTTTATAACAAATGAAATTAAATTTAATTTAATGTACAATTAATGTGTGATCTTTACGACTCGCATTATTAACCAATATTTTTATTATATAACGTTTTTAAAAAATTTCCAATGAACCATACTCGTGTGAAATATTGATAGAAAATAAGATACTGCTGGGACAAATGTTACCAAAATGTAGGACTGACATTGAAAACAAACTTTAGCTGCCTTGTTTTTTTTTCTTCAATAAACCCTTCAAGTGACATCTTAGAAAGACCTTCATCAATAATTTAAAATGCATTCCCCACTGATTCAGACGAGCGGTCGGTATAACAGAGTTTTGTAAACCAAACACTACCTTAAGAACAATTTCTGAACCGTATCAGGTGCACGATCTGCTTGAAACATTTTAAAAATGTATGCAACAACGTGCTTTACATACAAGTTGGAGATTGCTGGTCTATTCCGATATTACAATACGACAAAGCTGGCTGAAATTCGAAAATTATTTTGCCCGCACAAAAATTTTAATATTTTTTACATGAACACACATATGAAATAAAACTTGCAAAACGCTGAGTTCTAACTTGATTTAAAACGCTTAACATCAGTCGCTCCTTTGAAACGATTCTCTGATTTAGCACTTCAGAGTTTCAATTTAATTCTCATTTTTAATAATGCTAAATAGTAGAAATATCTACACTAAATTTTAGTAAACAATTAAAAACCGCTGTGGAACAGTTATTCTCTGAACTCCAGTGAAAAAAAACTTTAAAAAACAACCCACTCGATATTTTGTTGCTCATCAGATGAAAACGCTATGGAAATATTTACTTACATTTGGATTATTTTATGTAATAATCTCTCGATGAATTTTCACAGAAAGGTGATTCTTGGATATCCCAAGATTGCAAGTTGAAGTTGACTTGCTCAGCCCCCAACATCTACACGAGTGGTGTCTTCTCGTGCCCCGCCGGGAGGGCCTGTGTCAGTGGGGCCTGCCTCGGTCAGTGGGGCTGATTTCGATCAATTTTGTGTTGTTTCGCTGTTAAAAAATAATTTAAAATATTTGCGTTGTTTTTATTGTACAAAAATAATCTACCGTTTATTTAAATTAGAAACCTTTTTTAAATTTTAAATTAAATTTTTTGATTTCAGTAATTATATTTGTTTCAATCAATAATTTTATCGAACAGCCAAACTGCTACTCAGCATTAATTTTGATAATATTTGATTCACGTCAACTGATCCAGCGTGCACCAACAGTCAACTGTGTGGCACGAACGGGGATTGTATTGAAACATCCACAACGAAGGGGTACGTCTGCAAGTGCAAGCCTGGGTTCATGGGTGACACCTGCAATTTCTGTGAGTCTTATTCTTCGTTATATTATTTTTTTTATAAACTTGTTATTTAAATTAAAAGAAAAGATTTCTCGCAACTTTACAAACCAGTATAGTATTGTATATTTAGTATATATATTGTTGTTATAGTATAGCATATATAGTAATATATACGTGTTTAAAACTGAATTAAGCATCTTCACCATGTATTTCTTTGATGTTTTGACTGTTTAAAATTTGTATCTGCATAAAGTTATTATTGTATGCACACTTCAAATTTGAAACTCTACCAAATAACCATTGAACTAATCAAATTTGAGCAACTCTTGGAGTATAACATCACCGTAATTGTTCCCTGCCACAACCAGCCCTATCGAAGGCCACCTACTCCCGCACCCACTGCACAACATTCGACAAAGCCACTTTCGATTTCAAAGGAATTGGTAATTTCCTTTTCGCAAAATCAACTCTGAAGGCTGTGCCCGGCCTGCCCAAGCTCATCAACTTCATGGAGTTTGAGGTGCGCGCTGTTAATGTTTACCTGGTGAACACGAAAGAAATTGCGTATGCGAAGATTTTAATAATCAACTTCCTCTCTCATCATATCGTCATCGATCGTGACTTAGAAGGTCTCGATGCCAGGATAACTGTAACGGTCAGTAAATGTTTAAGTATCTTGAGTTGCTGTAGCTGCTGTTAATTTATACTTGCTTGTCATTTTCAACATTAAAGTTGAAAGACTTTAAAGAATGATACATCGACCGCATTGTTTGTTTTGTTTGTATTGTTTTATAAGTCAAGAGCATAGATGTGCATTTCATGATCTGTTTTTTCAAATTGTTTTTTTTTCACTTTTGCAAGTTTGTTTGCTTGCTTTATTTTTATTTTTATGGCACTTTTAAGGATACTAAAATAGCTTTTAATTTCGTTGTAAACTCTTTTTTCGTTTTTAGTAATAAAAGCTTCAAAAAATTGTTATAGACAATTTAACATTGCATAATTTGTTTGAAATCGGTCTGCCAACTCAGTCTGCTGCCAAATGCAAACTCATTCAAGCAACTTTTAAACTCAAAATTATTTTCACCAAAACGTCACACCACCCTTGTGAACATCTGAAACCATCACTAGGTGGACGGCAACATCGTCAACCTGCCCTATAACTCCACCGACTTTGAAATCGTCTGGAACAGTCTGTCCAGTGTCGACTTCTCATCGAATCTTGGTTCCTTTGTGGTCACGTACGGAGCTTCCGACTCCACCATAACCGTCACGATTCCTTCTTCATATTTCAGCGGTGGGAAGGGCTTGGCACCTCCCAACGGACTGACGGGAGTGTGTGGAGGATTCGATGGGATTCCGGGTTCTAATAACTTTTTGTCATTTTATTAATTTGTAATTTTTTGTTTGACTTTTTGTATCACGTCTTAACTGAAGTGTCGTCATATTTTCTAACAGGTCTGATTGAATGATAATGTCAGCAATATAAAAATATTGACTTGTGAAATTCAATCACATTTGGATGCCTAATAAATTGAGTTGAACACTCACAAACTTCAAAATTTTGATTTAACCTGAATAACAAATAATAACAAATGATATTGAATAACACCAAATGAAGACAACGACTTGGTGACGGCCGACAACAGAAGTGTGGCGTCCAGTCCAGATCCAGGTTTCGAAATTGGACTCAGCTACACTGACAAGTCTGATCCTTACTTCAAGTAAATTTTTATTTGGCCTCAATCAAAATTTAGTGACGATGATGTTTGGTGACGATGATGTTGGGTTACAATGGAGACAATGATGTTAATGATTGTTATAGATGTAACATCATAGATGACGATGTAGCAGTGCTTGTATTTAATATCAGCAGTTGAAAAACAAAATTTAAAAGTGTTAATTATTTGAGTCTAAAAATTTAATTCTTCCCCTCTAGGAATCTCACAAGCCTGCCGAACGAAGTCCTCTCCAAGGAGTGCAGCAACGCCACCCTGCTGAACAAATGCAATCTGATTCAATCGGCTCTCTTCAGACCGCTCCTCGTCACGCTAGGCGTCAGCGAGGCTCAGACCTTCGTCAAAAATTGCATTGCCGATGTCACTCGACTCTGCAACTTGGATGCGTTTTGTACTGCAGCCGAACGGGTTGCCAAGTGAGTGAACGTTCATTTCAGTAGATTTTTATTGTTTCAACTCAAGTAAAATATTTTGTATCCTGTTATTTTGGCTTGAGATAATTTGCATCATAATTTATCCAAACAGGTTGGCTGAGGCACTGGGTTTCGTAACTGAATGGAGGAACATCCTCGGCTGCCGTTAGTAAAAGTTCTTCGGAGTTCAATTCTCATGTCCTTCCTTACGACAAGTCTCTACGTATATAATACTCTGGATCATTTGCTTATCAATTACTGATTTAATTGATCATTTTTTCAAATCGTTGCTGTCTTGTTTTATGCTGCAATTAGTTTCAGGCATAGTCTAATTATGTTAAACATGTTATCAGCTTAAAACGTTACAAAATGTTGTTACGACGTACGCCGTGGTGGTTCCTTGCGTTGTCTGAAAGTGAGCTGTGCTGAGAACAATCGTCATTTTCTTATTGCCCAGTTGACTCTGGCACTGCAGTGACGTCATTCACTGCTACGAACGAGTTTCGCAGTTATATTATTCATTTCTATTATCTGTAGTTATTTCAATGGGCACAAATACAACTTTAAAGATCCATAAGTGAGAGCAAAGAGATATTGAACCCCAGCATACCTTAACTGCATTCAACATCAACATCCAATCGTGCAACAACAACGACAACATCTCATCAATTTAAAACATTCAACAACATTTCTCACCGCCATCACTGTACCACAAACAGCCCTCCAGTGTCCACCAGGTCAGATCTTCAGCCCACGATCCACAGGATGTCCAGAAACCTGTGACGACCCCGACGCTCCTGCCACTTGCACTGAACCTGACCTCATCGGCGAGTGTGTGTGTCCCCCTGGTCAGGTGCTCTTCAAGGACAAATGCGTGAACAGGACCTCGTGTGGTTGTGCCGATGTTGCTACTGGCAGATTCTACGAGGTGTGTCTCGAGTGTGTCCTTTGTTTATTTAATATTTGATGTTTTTAGTTCAGTTATTTTTGTAGAAAACTGAAAAATGTTTTATTATTATTGTTGAAATGTTAAAATGTTTTAAAGATGCGAACCTGCGCCTGCTTTTGTAGGTCTTAACGAGGCTCGTGATGAGAATTAAGCAATAATAGTTCATTATTAATATCTATCGTACCTCCGACTTAAAAAAATATTGACACTGTTGTCAGTTTTCTTTTTAAAGGTTAAAGGGTAAAGGTTACCTATGGTTTGTTCTTCATAAATATAGGATAGAAATACATCATCTCTTGAATATTTTTTATAAGGACTGTGCTTTCGAAATAATTTTTCTAATGTTTTGTCAATAGCACATTGCTGCTTACATGCTAAACTACATTTGAACTTACGTGCCACATTCGCTGCAAATCCACTCCACATGAATCTTATGTATTGTGTATGTATTTAGTTTGAAAAGACAGTATTCGAGCCCGGTCATAGTGCAATAACGAATAGCACCTCTACAGTATGAGCTATTTTGCCATTCGATTGGTATATATGAAATTGATTTGTAATAATTCTTCCAACCAACAACAACAACACAACTACAACATCAACAGCATCAACAACAACAACAAAAACAACAAAAACAACCCAACAGATTGGACAGTCCTGGCGAAGTTTGGGATGCGCGAAGAAGATGACATGTACTGAAGGTGGGAATGTTACGCAGGTGACGGCTGGCAACTGTTCGAAAGGATTTTGTGTTGGCAACAGATGTTCAGGTTGGTCTTATTGCTCAACGTTGTTTCAAGTGGTCTCTTCATGAATTCGTTTGTCTCACTGAATAATTTGATGGCGTGCCAATACGTGATAATTTTGGTTGACGTTGGTGTTGTTGTTATTGTTGATGTTGTTGTTGTTATTGTTAATGTTGTTGTTGATGTTGTTGTTGATATTGTTGTTAGAGTTGTTGCTGTTATTTAGTTTCAATTAAAACAATTGATTTTACAGTTTTTTTTCGATAAATTAGCATTGTATCATTATGTTTTTTAGTTGTAGTTTTTTAAATTATTTCTATTTTACTGTTTAAATCCTTCTTATAAGGTTGTACTCCTAATCCATGCTTGTACGGAGGTCAGTGCATAGAGACCAGCGAGGAAGGAGATTTCATCTGCAAGTGCCCACCTGGTGTCTTCGGCAAAAGATGTGGCGGTCAGTTTACATTTTTTCCAAACGTCCTTACATTCATCATTGCGTTGTGTTTCTGTCTGCAATGCTACGACTTTAACATAGAAAAATAAAATCGATTTGACTGAAACAGCATAAACATCAACAACAACAACGTCATCAACAACAACAACATCAACTACAATATCAACAACAACATCAACAACAACAACGTCATCAATAACAACAACTTCAACAACAACAAAATCATCAACAATATTAACATCAACAACAACACCATCAACAATATCAACCACAACAACACTAACAACAACAGCATCAATAACAACACCACAACGTCATCAATAACACCAACAACAAGCAACCCAATATAAACCCCCACAAAATTCCACCAGGAAGCAACAGCCAAGCGGACATCGTCATAATGATTGAAGATGGGCCGGCAGACTGCAACCCAGCTGAAAATAATTTCAACTCTTGCGTTTTTGGCTTCTACAGAAAAATTCTCAACTTCCTGTCAAGTTTTGTCGCCAACTTACCGCTCGGTGGTGGCGACATCAGAATCGCCGGCGTGTCCTTCTCATCACAGCCTCAACTTCTCTGGTCGTTTGATGAGTTAGTGGTGATGATCTCATGATGATGATCGACGATCTTCTAATGAATGATGATCATTAACATTGCAATGATGTAATGATGATCAAGATCACACACACACACACTCACACACGCCCACGCACGCAGGCACACAACACATACAAACATTGATGTAACGCAACCAGTTATACCAAAGTGGCCGACCTGCAAACAGCTATCAACCAAGTGACCTTGGGAAATGCAAACCAGCCCATCAACTTGGCAATATCCATCGACTTCATCATCAGTCAAGTTTTCCAGATAAGCAATATAATTTCGACAACAATTAGGACGCCAACACTTACACTGACACCGCCAGCTCCAAAGATTCTGCTCATTTTCACTGACGCTCAACCGAAGGCCGATGCCAGCAAGATCGGCATGGTAGTCAGCAAGCTGGCTACAAGTGGCGTCCAGGTTTACACGTTTGGTCTCACGAGTCGTGTCGACGTTAATCTCTTGGGTCAGATCTCTTCAAGCCCCAAGCAGGTCCGTGTGGTCTTTGAAATGTTTCAATCTCGATTTTTAAACTCATGTTTTCAAATCTTGAACATGTTGGTTTCGTGTGTCTTTAATGCTTCTCTTGCATTATACTGTCTGTAAATAGAAAAATGTTGATTATTGACGAAAACGTTGATTGTTATATAGAAAAGTTGATACATTTGTTGCGAGTAACGTCTGGTTTAATGCAGACACTGAAATGTGATTTCTACAAAGAAGTAATAAAGAAGCTAAATAAATAAACTAAATAAATATTTTATATAAATATGTTATCCCTTTAAAATTTTTATTTTGCAATAATTTTGTATTGTGATAAGTTTTGTATTTTATGTAAAATATGTATTTTGTATGAAATTTTTAAAATTTTTATTTGTACGAAATGCAAAGTTCAAGTTTTTTTTTTAAATGGAAACCAACCCACCAGAAATATGCCAACTTCTTCCCAAGCTTCATGGACATCTCCGTCGATGTTCTCAAACAAATTTTGAAAATAGTTGGTTGGTGATGATGAAATGGTGATGATGATAGAATGGTGAAATCGAAAAGATGAGTACGGTGACGGTGATGATGACAACGACGAAGATGATGACGATGATGACGATCACGACTTGATAGTGACATGATGATAAAATGGTAATTGTGATAGAGGTGAGTAGACAACATAATCAACTTGAATTTGTATGAATTAAGATATCTTATTCGAAGTCATCTTAATACTTACAATTTTTGAATCTATAACTAATATTTTAGAATTAAGGATTTAATCGGC